TGGGCAGCAAGACCTCATCTCTACAATAAATCAAAAAAATTAGCCGGGCGTGGTAGCGCGCGCCTGTAATTCCGGCTACATGGAAGGCTGAGGCGGAAGGATCGCCAGAGCCCAGCAGGTCGAGGCTGCAGTGACCGGGAGCGGCCACTGCACTATACAGTCTGGGTGACAGAGTGAGACTCCAACTCAAAAAAAACAAAATTGTATAAATTATAATGCAATAGCATTGGCAATAATATGAGTCCTTCTGAGTCTCATAAGTGTGAACTCCTTGTGGACAGTGAATCCCCCCCACTCTCAAGGCAAATCCTCTGTGGACAGTGGAACCTTCCCATACATAATGTGAATCTCCTTCGTCAGTGAATCCTGTTGGACAACTGATGTTTCTTCTATGCCCTCCATGAACTGCCTTTATCCATAGCATTCTTTTTTTTTGAGTCGGAGTCTCACTCTGTTGCCCAGGCTGGAGTGACCTCCCGGCCACTGCAGCCTTGACCAGCTGGGCTCAGGTGATCCTTCCACAGCAGCCTTCCAAGTAGCTGGAACTACAGGCATGTGCCACCACGCCCAGCTAATTTTTTGATTTATTGTAGAGATGAGGTCTTGCCAAGTTGCCCAGGCTGGTCTTGAACCCATGGGCTCAGGCAATCCTCTCACCTCGGCGTCCCAAAGTGCTGGGATTATAGGTGTGAGCCACCGTGCCCAGCCGCCATAGCATTATCTTACACATAGGGCCAATGTTCTGCGGACAGTATGGCCTGCAAGAGGCTAGATACATTTTCCTCACAACTGGTGTGAATCTTGTGTGGTTATGGGGAACTCCTCATAGGCAAAAGAAACCTTCCCTTCAGCCGATGGACATCTCTCCCCATTATCCTAGAACCGGGGCAAATACGATGTGGAGAGTATGGACACACCACAGACAGGTAAACCCCATATCCGAGGAGCAGACATCTATTACAAACAGGGCATTATCCTTTAGTGTGTTCCCCCCAACCCCGGGAAGCTTTAAAAATCTCCCTCCCCCAGGTGTGAACACCCACATAGTTTAGCTCTCCACGGAATGCAGTGCGAAGTCCACGAATCGCTGCATTTCCCCATCTCGTGCCCCAGTCTCAATGCCTAAGGGGGCTGTCGGGAAACTGCGCTGTCCTAAATGTCAAACTCTTAAAGGTGACTTGTCCCCAGGGCCCCGAGGCCCCAGGCTACGCGCGTTGCCCACACTGCAGCGCGCGCCACCCGACAAGCGCGCGTTCTCTCCGCTCCCGGTGGCAACAGGGCTTTCCGCGGGGCCGCGCCAGACTTTTCGAGACCGTCGATTGGTCGTAGTCTCGGCCACCCGACAGCCAATCAAGCAGGGGAAAGGTGACATCACTGGTTCTCCTCCCCTCCCCCCAACCCAAACTTCCCTACTCCGGCTACCGGCAGCAACAACCACGTGGGGGAGGGGTAAGAGAGTAGAACCGGTGAGGTCATTGCACCGCCCCGGTCGCTGCTGATTGGCTGCGGTGCTCGCGGGTAGCGGTTGGCTGCTCCTCGCACCTCCCCTCGTGCCGCTACTGCTGCCACTGAGAGGAGCCACCGGCAACGCCAGAGTCAGGAATCCGGGTGAGTCGGGGCCCTGGGTCTAAGATACTCCTGGTGTCCAGTGAGACTCACGATGAACTGCCCTTTTCGACTTTTTCTCCTCGCCCGGGTTCTTTAGCGCTCTAGGCACTCTGTCACATGGGAGTTGTAGTCCGTCTTGCACTGTCGACTATGGGACGGAGACCTGAGAAGACTACTACTCCCAGCAGGAATTGCGACTAGCCGGTCAACAAACACTCTGGCCACGCCTTCTAAACTCGCTCATTGGAGAGCCTTTCCCTTAGCCCCACCTTCTTCCATTTCATTGGCTACTGTCCCTCACAGAGGTTGGGTTCCGGCCTGGGGTGCATGAGGAGTGGGTACTGTATTTGTCATTCGGCACTAAGGTGGTCTGCAATTGGTTAAAACTGATGTCCATTACTTGTTGTAGGGCAGGCCCTAGGCAGATCAGGCGGTCGTAGGCTCAGGTTGGTGTCGGTCCCGGAGGGAGGCCGGTCTTGGGCCGTGGCCCCGCCCACTGGCGCTTCCAGATGGGCGCGATTGGTCCCTGCAAGCGTCGCTCGTCGTTGAGAGGCGGAGCCATCTGGGCTACGGATATCTATTGGCCTAGGCCGGCGCCGGTCAGCGGGGTTGTGGCCGCTGATTGGCTGGCTGCTCCAGCTGTTGCAGGTCCATTCACCATTTTGTGTGTTGGAGTAAAAAAAAAGGGAGAATCGAGAGGGAGAGCCGAAGGGGGGGCGGGGAGGGACCGGACCGGACCAAGCCGGGGCCACGGCCCCCCGCCCCGAAACCCCGCCGAGCCCAAGGTGAGGGGCGGGGCTAG